ACACTAACCGTACCGAGAACCGGTCAAATGACCGGATTTAACATTCTAGGTTTCTTTTCGTATATGTAACTTTAACATCAGTTTCTATATTGTTTGATTACTCAGTCTTGCAATCCTTGCCTTTCCTTTTATTTCTGTTTTCACTATAAGACATTTATCATTTAACTTGTTTATCTTTATTTTACAGCTAGTTATTTGACTGGTTACGGTAGGAGAGGTGCCAGTATGGTTAGTGTTAAGTGACGGGTTTGTTGGTCTTGACGATTGTTTGACAGGCAGAGAAAAATATTTTCACGAATACTAAAGCTAGATTTATGAAAACCGTCAATTTGATGAATGTTAATTTTTATAAACATTATTTGCTAAATGTTTATTTATTAATTTGTTTTCATTTAATTGTTAATGAAATGGTTAGTTTAGTAATTATATAATTTATTTATTTCATATTTATTTATTAGAAAGCAATTATAAGGATACGTATCCTAATTTTCTATTTTTGAAGCTTTAATTTCCAAGACATAGGTGTATCAATGAACATCTATTTCTTCTAGGAATAGTAGTATTTAGAAATGTCCGTAAATTTAGTGTTTGCTGAAATTTAGATCGTAATAGATTAATGAATAATTTCAAGGCGGAGTACTTCGCGAAATAAAATTTCCATGCTACTATTTTGTGAAGAAGGAAGTTACACAAAAGTTTACCTTTCAGAGAAGAGTCTAAGATTTAATTGATTAATGTTGAAATAATAACAATATTGGATTTAATTATGTTCTGTATTTTATTGTATCTCTCATATCTGTATTCGTTATAAATACATAACTTACTATGTTAATAAATTTTGATAAACAAAGTTAATATCATTGGAATTTCATTGCTTGCTTATAAAATTTGATTGATAAGAAATTCAAAGTATGCGTAGGCGTTCATGCCTGCGCACGTGTGTCTCAAGTTAATAATTAATTTTCATCTGTATACTGAAACAAGTTGATGCATACATAGTTGTCGAAGTTTGAAAAGTTACTCGAGGCACAGAACTTCCTTATGCACTGTTCTTATTGAGTTTTCCGAGTGGAAGAATTCTAGTAGAAAAATTACTGCAACGATTAACCAACAGTGCTTCATAAAACTTTGAATGACGTGTTAATACTTCATCAATATTGCAATACGCCAATATTGGAAATTTCGACGATCAAGACTATTAAGAATTTCAATATTTAAAGTATCTACATAAAGCAACTGCAATGAATAACCGAAAATTAATAAAAATTGATTTAATAACTTTTTGATTATAATTTATGGCACTTATGTTATCTTCGTGTTTCAAATATTTAAATTCTTAATAGTTTTAATCATTATAGTTTCCAATGTTTATGGACTTTAATATGAATTTTAATATTGACAAGGTGTTACCATATCGTTCGGAGTTTGATGACGTATTGTTAATAAATCGTTGTATTTCTCTATTATTATATAATTTCTCTATTAGGTTTCTTAGTAAATTACTTAAAAAGTTACTGAACTAACTTCCATTACTTCTTAGTTACTCGTTGCAATTGCTAAATTCTTCTATTCTTTCCTTCTTTTACTTTATTATTTCATTAATTCTTGGTTATTAATTGCAAGTGCTGAACTTTTTTATTTTATTCTTCCATGAATTCTTAATTATTCATTACAATTCTTGAATCATTTTATTTTCTTATACTTTCATTAATTCTTAGTTATTATTTGCAACTGCTGAATTCTTTTATTTTTTTTATTCTCTCATTAATTCTCAAAGGTTCCAAGCTTGTATAATTTATGGCAAGATATTCGAGTCGACTATATTAACTGCGACAACTGGAACAGATTATGGTTACATGTTATAGAGATGACTTGGCACTCCTAAAGATGACGCTATATTCCATTTTGTGCGTCACAGTTTCAGCACGGATTTCTGGGAAGTAAACCGTATTCCCATAACCCACGACGAATCTCCTCTCGTTTATTTCCGTTCGACTACTTGGCCACGTTACTCCCCTATTGTACCGATTACCTGAGGGAATTGTTGGTTGTGGGTCCTTCATAGGGTACATAACTTCCCGTGGTCCAATAATATTGCCCAGAGAACAACGATCTATTTAAGTTCATCAATTAATTCTTTTCCGATTGAACCGACTCGAATACTGCCAACAAGAGTTTGTCCTGATGGAGCGTAAGAATTTAATAATGTATTTACTCGTGCTTTTCTCGAGGACAATTGAGCCACTTATTAGCCAAATCGGTTAACCCCTTACCCTACGGTTTATTTCTCAATTGCGATCGATACAATTACTTTGTCATGAATAATTTATTGAAAAACAGAGAAAAATTTCAGGTATATTCTGTACCCATGTTTACTTTAAATTACAATCATTGATAACATGAAGAATAATATTTAATTTGAATTGACAAAAATTGAGCAATATTTAAGCTTGTTGAATTTTGTTTAAAATCTTCGCCACGAGTCTAACACAATATAATAGGGTAAGGGATTAATTTCGATTAAAAACAAAAAGTAAAGGAGATCGATGCGATAGTATACATTGATTTTGAAAATCTTCAAATCATTCAAAATGTATAAAATAATACATCTTTGTAATTAAAGAAGTAATCTTTATTATTGCTGCAACTCCTCCACGTGAAAAGGAATTTTTGTTATTTCGTAGGACTAAACTCAATAATGTTTACGAAAATCACAGAACTTAGTTTGCAGTAAATATTTCTTTATCGCCAAATGTATACTTTCATAAAATTGCAGTGGTTTGTATTCAGAAAAATTAGAAACTGATAGTAGACAACATCAATTGACTTCACTTTTTTATCAATTACTTATTTCAAACATATATTGCGTTAGCTATTGTTGATTGATCTCAAATAACAAATTCGATCATTTTTCAATTTTATACCATATTATTTAAGATACGACTATAGACAAACTGGTAACAATGAAAAATAAGGAATTAAGAATAGGGGGAATAAAGAAGAATAAAATAAAAAGGTTAAAAATAGGAAAGGACAAAATCAATTACAAAATTGCTCGCTTTTTATTTGTAAAAGAAAAAATATGCTCAGGAGAAAAAATGACACTCGTAGGTTCTAGATCCATTATTTCCAAAAGAAATTTGCAAAGTTTTAAATGTTATCATATGAATAACGCGCGTGTTCAAAATCCTTATTCTAGCACGGTGCGCGAGGATATAGAATGTAAATATAAGTGCTTAAATTGAACCGCTGTATTTGATACAATTGATTCGGCTGTAGCAGATAAATTTGCTCGACCAACCAAACAATCATCTGGCTGTGGCGGATGTATCCACTCGATCCACTGCACAGTATTCCGAGCACTATATCAACTTCTGGGAAAAAAGTCACGTCCCAGCATTTGCTCAAAAATTCTTTCTAAATCTATTTGAAAAGTTTATCACATGCTGTTTAGTTCTTAAGGTATTATTAAACTCTCGTCTCAACTAACCGAATTAACACGATAAAAGGGCACTACACAAAAAGGTTTTATTTTGGCTTTAACTTATACTGGTTTCAATATTCTAGAACTACATTTTCAGACAAATTAATCTGTTAATTTGCAATATTTTTATATATCTTTTGACGCATATAGGTTTCTGTGTAATTTCGAAAGTAACATAATAATTATAATATACGTAATTGATAAAAGAATAATTTTGAATGTAACAGCAATGGCGCGAAGATGTTTTGTCTATTTCTTTATTTAAATACATAGATAACGAAAGTAGAAATTAAATAAAATTGATATTTTTTTTTAAATATAATAATTTGATAATTATTAAGTACTTGATACATATGTTTAAAGTTATAAATGTAAGTATAAAAAATAATAATAATTAAGTAAAACAATTGGAATAATTAAGAATTGGAATGAAGAAATATTATATTTCGATTTAAATCATTCTATTGTGTTCACATTAACTTATGCAAAGTGTAATTTTGCTCAATAGCAGCACAGTTGCTTTTATCAGATTTTTAGTTAATGACTCTGACGATTACGACTTTACAAAAACCTCATTATACTAGATGAAAATTTCCATACGCGATAATTTGCTTTTTGCTCGTACTGGCTTATAGTTCGAAAATATTATTCTGAGAACACATTAAATTTTATATTATGAAATTCATTTAAATACTTTGAAATGAATGTGAATAAAATTCATTCAAGGTATTACATACATGCTTTGTGAATTTAGAAAAGAAAATTCTACGATTACATTTCTATGTAGGTATGTGACAACATCTATGATGATCTATGTTGTATATAATTCTAATGTACTTGAAGCGAGAACGTGTCAATATTGATTTAAAAAGTTTCGTACGACGCAAGTCTGAAAAGGAGTGCACACTCTAAAACCTTGAAGATCAGCTGCACAAATATTTATAAACGTCTCTTCAGGTTATTGAAAAGTTACAACATTAGACCTAATTTTTCACCACCATCTATATAGTAACTCAATTCTTAGGCATTTATTATAATTTTTATTACGACTTTTTTAAAATTAATTATAATCTTTATTACAACTTTTTTACAATTAATTACAATCTATATTACAACTTTTTGAATGTTAAAGTAATGTAAT